TTTTTTTTTTTTTTTTATTGTAATCGCAGCGTATATATGTGCCGCGTTCGCAAATTTTTTTTTTTGTTTTTTTTTTGTTTTTTAATTCGCCGTAGCAAAAGGCATTGCACTCAACCAAAATGAACAAATCGAAATACAGATATTACAAAGTAACAAATGGTATATAATGAATATATGTCAACAATCTGCCAATAGATATATTATATATATAAATATATATATATATATATAATATGTGTGTGTATAAATATATATAAATATATATATCTCTCGCAAAAAATATATATATATATATGTAAATATATATATATATATAGATATATTTATATACCACAGTGTGTACAAACGATATGCGTATATCCATAACGTATGTGTATATATATATGTATATATATTTATGTATATATATATATAAATGTAGTAAAAAACAACCATGGCCAAAAACGAAGGTCAACTTCTTGACAGTGAGCTAGCAAGACAGGCTGGCAGGACTGGGGAGAGGATTTGTCTGGCTTTCCGTAGTCTCTTTTGCTTGTCAATCTTTTTTTTTTTTTTTTTCGTAGTCTCTCTCTCTCTCTCTTGAGAGAGAGTGGTAGACTTTGAGCGCACTTTTTTTTTTTCGGTTCCCTCAAAGCACGTGGAGATGGGGTTTCACGGACGGAGAGAAGGGGGGTCGAGCTTTTACGATCGGGGGGTGAGGGGGGGTGGTATACACGCTTGGCGCGAGCTTGCACGCATAAGCAAAGAGAGAAGAATGCTGCGCAGAAGGAGCAGAAAAAGGGGTTGCATAATGAAACCATACACAGAGGTGTGAAGCTGAGTAGAGTGTGCGAAAGAGCGTGTGTAAGAACGTTCCGTAACTTTTAATTAATTACTTAATCCTTGATATTATCTTGCACGAGATCCTACCATCTTCTTAAAAAAAAGATTTACTTCCGTTTTTTTTTTTTTTTTTTTACTATCGCTCTGAAAAACGAATAATCTTTTGCCGGCTTTCACACCTCTACAACGCTTGGGAGTCGGGAGAGGGGATGAAGTGTGACAGAGACGAAACCGGGAGAACGGGGGTAGGAAAATGGAGCATTCAAACGGGATCAGACAGGGGGAGGGAGGAGGGAAAAGAAAAACACGCGTGAGAGCCGGAAGAGAAGATGAGAGGAAGTGACGTACACGCACACACGCGGGGGAGGAGAGAGCGTGTGTGACGGACAGTGAATTAGTTCGGAAGACAATATATTCGCCACATTAGACGAGCATGCACGATCTCTCACGTTTCCTCACTTGTTTTACGCGTGTCTCAGGGAGATTTCTCCTTCTCCTCCTCTTCCTCCTCTTCCGGACTTGCGTCAAATCGCGTAACGCGCCAACGACGATACGAATTTTTTTTGGAAAAACAATTAATTTCTCACCGCGTTAATTTCATTTCGCGAGAAAAAGACTCTGGAGGATAAAAAAAAAATTATTCTCCCCCGTTTTTTTTTTTTTATATATCGCGTACAAACACTCGATAGAGCGAAGGCAACTTTCGAACTTTTACGGTGAAGTTTTATAACCACCGTTCAACGGAGCGCATTTCTTTTTTTTTTTTTTTTTTTAACACTCTATTGAAACATTTTTAAGTAAGTAAAAAAGTTTACACGTGGAATGTCGAAATAAAAAAAAAAAAAAACGCTCTGATGCGAAACGTTTGCGTAACTAGAGCTTTTCATTGACATTTCCGGAAACCGAGTCGAAACGTCAGAAGAGCCCGCTCAACGAAGGAGGTTTATCCTCCCCGTTCAGGGAGGAAGGGTTCGGGCGGGTGAAATTTATTAGGATCCAAACGCCAACGGAAACGCGGACACAATCCTCGCTTGTGAGATTACCGATCCGCGTAATGTCGCGCGGACAGCAATTTCTCGCTGATGACGCGACAATTCTATCAAATTAGCAGGGAGAGAGCAGCAAACAGCAAAGCACTTGGGCGAGACATGCAAGAGACCCACATGCAAAATGAATACGACGCACACACACACACACACGCCCACACACCCGCGCACACACACTTACACACACACACGCACACACACTTACACACATAAAATACACGCGTGCGTGCGCGTACGTACAACAGGAGTCGCGCCCTTGTCGGTTTTTTTTTCTTTTTTTTTTTTTAACGAAAGCTTTTCGCGATGATGACCCGAACACGCTTCCAAAAAAGTCGCGTTTCCACAGAGCACGAATCGTCGTCGTGATATTGTTATAAATAAACGGCGATATAAATATACGATATACACAATGCGTCGCAATGCGTAAAATTGCAACCCTCGCAGGGACTTTGGCGCAAAGTAAGTAAGTAAGTACGTGAAAAAAAAAAATAAATCGTCGCCGCGTCTCGTCCGCAATCCCCGCCGACCGGCGAACGAGAGCGAGACGCGACAACCGACACGTTCATATGATATATTTATATATATATCAATAGTAATGTAATATATATATATATGTAATAGAAATGCAGAGCAAAGAGAGGATACGAGAAGTAAAAAGTAGTCAATAATAAATTGGAAATATATATAGATGTACATATATGTATGTATATATATGTATATATATGTATATATATATATATACATATATGTATAGAAAATGTATATGTACGGCTCAATCGGAAAAGAGAAGGGCCGCCGCGCGACTCACCGGATCTGGCGGGAGTCTGTAGTCCGTGGATATCTCGCTGCTCGCGCTTCGCTCCTCGGTCGACCTTTCCCAGTCCATCTCTTTTTTCAGGGACTGCAAACACAAAAGGGTGTGTATCGAGTTTATATCCCGTGTAATAAAAAATATATAGATAGTTACATCGCGCGCGATTTATATCGAGATAGAAAAGAACCGAATGTCGGGAGCGCCGACGGGACGCGCAATATCGAAAATTACATCGTCTCGGTTTTCCTTCTTGCATATTAATCGCCACGCCGGTTGTTGTTGTCGATGCTCTGTTTCAGATCCGATCGCGGATTGAAATTGATCGAGCGAGTTCGGCGCGGGATCGCGCTCGTTTAATAACGAGCGTGTTTGTCGGTTCGATAGAAAATTGCAATCTCCCGCGTTCAAAGAAAAAATCTTGTGGTCGCGATTAAAGATCTGTCGAATTATCTCCGGCAGTGACATTGCGTGTCAATTGTAACACATAGATACCGTCAATTCGAACGATAAAACTTTTGATTGAACTTGAGGAGGCAAATGATGCGATTCGCGATTTTTGACTTTGAAGATGTGAGTTTTTTTTTTTTCGTTTTTGATCTCTCGATATTGAAAGTTCGGCGACGATTCTTTGTTGTTCATTCCTAATTCAGGCAAAGCTAACTTCGTGACGAACGCAACGAACTTGACGCAAATTGCATGTACGACAAATGTCCCAGTGAACATGTAACCAAAGATCATTTATTACAAACGTAATTATTCGATACGTATAAATATTAATTGGAATAATTTTCTACGTCTTAAGTATTTTTCGAGATTTTCTACACTTTTCAATTTTAGTCCCTACCTTGTAAATTACTTAAAGTTTCCTTAAAAAATGTCGTTGAGACATTAAGTAAACACAAGTTCATTAAAGAAATTCGAATACTTATTACGGAAATAATTATCAGATACGTAAATATTAGTTTTCTAACAATTGTCAATGTTTTTTTTTGAGATTATTAAATTTCAATCCCTAACTTCTCGTGTATAAGTATTTTATAAATTGTTTTTTAAACAAATGTCATTGGGACATTAAAGAAATTTATTATTTATTATTAAAGAAATTTATATAGAAATAATCAAACATGTAAATATTAATTGTCGATGTTTAAATATTTTTTGAAATACGTTTCCAAAGTCCCTGACTTTGCGATTAACAAATGTTCTGGTTATTAGAACTGGTTTTACATGTCGAAGTTCTAACGTTGCCTGAATCAGGATATGATTTCTCTGTTGAGATTAAATCTTATATAGTCGCTACTTACTAGCGGAACTTGCTGGACCGGGGGTAAACCCGACGGGCCGGCGAGGGGCTCGGTACTATGCGGGGACGGAAGCCGGCTCTGCGGCAGATTCAACGGCAGCACACCACTACCACCACCACCACCACCACCACCGGGCGCACCGCCGCCGGTGTTGTTGCTGAGGCTCATGTCGGATGGTCCGCTGTGTACCGAGATCGGGCTGAGGGAACCGGCCCGCGTCTCCTCGATGCTCGCCGCGTCCTCGGAGTCCCTCCTGGGCCGGTCGAGGGCGAGCGGTCCCAGACACGGACTGCCGGGTCCAGCGGGCGACGGCGGACATTCCGTCATGTCCACCGCTTCCGCGGACTCGCTGGGGGTATTCTGAGCGACACTACTCGATTGTTGTTGCTGTTGCTGCTGCTGCTGTTGTTGTTGTTGTTGTTGTTGTTGTTGTTGCTGCTGCTGCTGCTGCTGCTGCTGCTCACATTCCTTAGCACCGCTCGACATCCCGGGGACGACATTTGACTCTCGTTCCCTGTCTTTGCTGCTCGCTTCTTTTATGCAATCTCGATCTCGTTCTCGTTCTCGTTCCCGATCTCTTTCTCGATGATGCTCCCGCGACGTGTCGGAGCCACTTGTGTGCTGCTGCTGTTGTTGTTGTTGTTGCTGCTGCTGCTGTTGTTGCTGCTGCTGTTGTTGTTGCTGCTGCTGCTCTTCCCTAGATGCTACCGCCGCGTTGATATTCGTCATATCCGCTAGACCCTTAACTTTGAGGCTCTCCGCTGTCTTGAGGAGGGCCGATAGCTGGCAGTACTCGACGTTTACCTCGCCTTTGTACATGAAGTCGACGAGGGTACGTAGCTCGGCGAAACGTACGTCCTTTAGGATGACGATGGGGTGGCGGTTCGGGTGGTCGAGGAACAGGGCCTGGAAGTAGCTGGAGCACGCGGAGAGGACTACCTTGTGTGCGCGTATCGACGGTCCCTCCGTGCACGCCAGTGTCACGTCCACCAGCGACTCCGACTCCAGCAGTTGACTGAACACACCCAGCAAGTTGCTCTGATGATTGTTCCACCTCAGGCAGTAATGCTCACTTCCCATGTCTGAACTGCACCCCGCAACCCTGCTATATAAAGAAAGACCTGCACTCTCCGCGTCGGTTCTCTCTCTCTCTCTCTCTCTCTTTCTCTCTCACTGACTGACGACGTTTACCGAGAGAGAGTGTCGCGTCACGTGGCCCAGGCGATCCGATTTCTTCGGCTACTACCGAAGTAGACAGACTACTGTGCGAATGCCGCACGTGTCTCATTATTTGAAGAGACGCGCGAAACAACTTCGCGATTGTCACGATCGCGCGGACATAATGCGGTAGATTGAACAATAACAACGCTTATTGACGATAAGTGCACATGCGCGATAATATACATCTGTTCGTGATAATATATCATATATATAATATATGATAATATATCACCGCGATCTCGGGGTATAATTAAGTTGCGCGGTACGAAATTTGAGACACACCGTTCTCGAGATAAGGAGAAGGATTACAAGAGTGTTTATTTTCTTATCACTCTCCACAAACTGCACAACTCCGTTATTTATTTTTTAATCACGATAAAACACTCGGGCGCGCGTCAACATCTTTTACCGTTTGAAATGAAGAATTTTTTTTTTTTTTTTTTATTTTCTGCACGTTCCAAAAGCGAGACCGGACGAGCAATCGCGCATTTGTTAAAGAAACAATTGCAACAAATTTATTAAAAATATGTGAAACCGGGAACTCTGACGTGTTTAAACCAAAATACCGAACGTTGTTGCGTTAAATATTTTTGCATCTTGTATAATTCTTCCGTTTCTCGAATACGTACGTCCGCAGGTCAATCGGGATCTTATCCGCGTTATCGGAAAACACCATTTCGTTCTCTCGGTGGGAGGAGCGCGACGAGAGAGCGCAACGTGAATGACGAGCGCGCGATTCCCCGACACGTAATAATCGCGATGTATTATTCAAGAGTTGCGCTTTAGTTTGCGCGGCGTCGTTTGTATATATATCGACGCGCGAGCGCGCGTACATAACGCCGCGCGTTATAATAAACCACCAACGCACTTCTGCCAATGCATGTTTACCCCGCTTGACACTTAATGCCGGCCGCATCCGAGCGTATCCGACGAGCCAGATCCGCCGACTGATATATCAGCCGAGTGCGACGCGAGATATACGCTTATCTTTCTTTCCTCTTTTATTATTCCTTATCCCGGGCGTTCGATTATTTATTGCCACCGCTGCTGCCTGGCAATGCGTGAATTGCCGTGCACGCACGTGTCACGAAACACGCGCGCGCGAAACACGCACACACATAATTACGCCGAAGCGTTTATTCTCGCGTAAAACGTGCATTCGCGTGATATCCGCGATATATGCGTGCAGGCGCGGTGTACCCCGCCGCACACACACACACACACACACACACACATACACACGATACTCGCGTGATTCGCTCGGTGTGCCCTCTTCCCCTTACCACCCCCGTTCCCCCCTCGATATTACGGCGACGCGTGACCCCGAGGTTTTCGCCGTGCGCACGATACGTCCGAAAACTCGGGGTTTAATTATTCTTCCCTCCCCTCTTTTCATTCCCCAATGAGAGTAAAATATTTTACTACGGATTAATCTTGCGAGAGAGACGGCTATTATGCAAAGTTCGTTGCACTCGACTCTGCGAGTTCCGACGCAAGGTGAGCGTCCCAATGACCGGACAAGTGCCGCGAAGGAGATGTGATTGTAACGAAAATATATATTATTTGTTTAAATTAGAAATCGATTTTTCGAACCAGCGAATAAATTTAAAAACACTGAGAAATTGTTGTTGTGTGTTTGACAAAAAAAAAGTCTAATTGTTGTTTATTCAATAAAATTGTAAACCCGGTCACCGGGACGTTTAGACCTCACAGACCTTTCTCTCTCTTCGAGATTCGATTCGGACGAACGACGTTTCTCTCTCGGATTCGGTTGTTTGTTACGAGGATGTGGGCAGAAAATCGACACAACTGACACGAAGATCAAGAGACTCTTCCTCTTTGCGCCTCTCCTTTGTGACGTCGCTCGACCGAGACTGCGGGCGCGATATCTCCGCGCGAGAGCGCGAGGAGGAGGAGGTTACGAAATCGCGAGTAAAATCGCGTCGTGGGAAATAATCAGTTTTCCATCGCTTTAAAACGAAGGTCCGGCGAGCATTCAGGCTTCGGATAAATTGCACCTGTCAATGCGCCGGGTATACGGTTATAGGAATTACCCGTGCTAGCAGCTCGCTCCGCGGCTAAATATAGCGCCGGCACGGTCGTTACGCATTGATTTCATCGTTTTAACGGCTATAACGTCGCTTGTTACCGGAACCTGCGAAACTTTTTTTGTTTTTTGTTCTTTTTTTTTTTGTTTTTTTCGCCGGAAACGGCGCCAGATCCGCACGGCGATAAAAACTGTACTTGCCAACTCGCGTCAACTCAAGTTTTTTTTTTTTTTTCATTGACGACGGTAACGATGGTCTCGCGTACCGCTCCGGAATATCGATCGATATGTTTACGAGTCTAATGCTCTCAAATATCGCACACGACCTCCCTCGGGAGATAAGATTTATTTACGTTAAGCCTGAAATAACATTATCATTCTGCACGTTTACGGAAGCCGAATGACGACGAGGAGAGAGAGCGCTTTGAGCGCGCCGGTTTTTAAAGACCCGTCGTCAATTTTTCAACGGATTCTAAAATAAAATGTGTCGCCGTAAAAAAAATCCAAATTAATCCTACCTACGTTATGTCAAGAGCAAACACGCGACCGTAAACGAAATTGTTAACAACTAGAAAAAAAAGCGTCGATTATTGAAAAGGTGCTAACTAGAAGGTTGGTTGTCCTTCGTCGTGTGTTGTCTGTGTGTAAAAATACGCGAAACATCACGCAACGTGTAAAGAAATAAATAAACAAAATAAAAATTATACAGGTCGATATTTTGTTCAGATCGATTTTATATCTGGGATCGTCTTGAGATTCGTCTCGAGTTGTTTCATCGTTTACGAAACATGTGAAGAACGAGTTAAAAAAAAGTTAAGACAATGTTGAATATCGGCCGTGATGTAAATATACAATATTGCACAACAATTCATACAACGCGTAAGTAGTTACGTAAAGATACCGCGCGATGTTATATAAATGATGTGTAAAAATTATTATTAAACTCTCCGCGACTATAATTTAAAATTTCATATTTGTAATAAAGTTTTCGGTGCGTTGCAAGTTTGTGAAAAAAAAAAACAAAAAAAAAAACAAAATTCATAAAGAGAACAACGTTAAATAACTTTCTCGGCTTAAGCCTGCAGTTATCACGTTCCTGCAATAATCGCACGTCACGCAGTTGCGTCCGATATAGTTGTTGTACGAGCACGTAAATGTCGAGTACGAAGCACGTTGCATCGCGCGATCGTGACAGGGGGGAGAATATTGCCGTATTAAACATAAAAAAACAACAACAAACGAATTCCCGTGTCACTCACGCTTGTAGGCAGTTTATCATACACACACACGCGCGCACACGCGCGCGCGAATGCAGAAATCGTCGATTTAATCTGACGAAGGTCCGGCGACGCGAAACGTCGCTGCGGCTCGCCGCTCTTTTTCCGCGCAATAAACACACCGCGTAGAAATCTAGCGGATTCTCTCTCTCTTTCTCTTTCTCTCACCGCCGCGCTTTGCAAACTTTACTTACAAGTACCGGTTTCAGCGAAATCGCTTAATAGCAAAAGTTAAGAGCCCAAAGTGGATGTACATATCTATGAACGCCCGCGCGGAACGCCCGAACGACGAAGCCGCGCTACGATCTTAAACACAAAATCGTCTCGACTGTGTTTGCGTTCTCGTTCACAAACTACCATTCCTTTAGAATTTCTATTCACCGTCGTCTACGTTTTCTACCCGTTTTATACGCGTATAAAAATTTATTTATACACGTTGCGTATTAATTTTACAATTACATATTTCGTAGATTTTAGTGTTTGTATATGTTTTATGTGCAAAATTTCACGCGTGTGTAAAATATAATAGTATATCTCTGTAGTATGGGAAAAATGTTTTTAATATATTATGATCTAGTATATAATTTGATATTGTTTATTATTTATTCACATAGTAGTTCATATAAAATTCGATATGCACGATCTACACGTACAGTATCTATATAATAATATATGAGAAGAAAACGATATATATTTTTACTGTGTGTATATTATTTTCTATAGACACTACACATGGGCAGCGCATATTATCGAATTTTACATGCCTGCAACACCTGACAGTTCTCCTGCGGTCTCAAAAGAAGATACGGCAGAGCACCCCCCCGCCCCTAGTGATTCAATTCTCACCTGTTTTTTTTCCTCCTCAGTCTTTGACACAAGCTGACACACCGCGTACCGCGCATACAAATGCCGGACCAGTGACGGTAACATAATCTTTGCACGGAACGAAAGAAGAACGGCAAAAGTCTATCTACGGTGGTAAGGGCAGGCACGAGAGAGGAAGTGTGATTGTAATTTCGCCGGAACCAGTGTTCTTTCAATCAAGGAATCGAGTTGAGACAAGGTGCAGGATCGCAAAATTTTCGCGCAAATGCCATATCGATGCGAATAAACAATATTTTCCTTTCAGATCGCGCAAAAATCTCGCATATCGCGATGTGGTGACGGCAACTGTTCTCGTCATCGACGACAATATCAGCATCTAAGAGGACCATCAAGATCTGTGTAACCATTTGTATTCTTTTTCTCTTTCTTTAATAAAGTTATTATTATTATTATTATTAACTTCTTTTAAAAAGATCGACGCGCATTTTTCTACTTCTTGCGAATTGGCAAACTTATCTCGCAAACTGGTACTTGCAATGCTCGTGCTAGTTGTTTTTTAAAAATAAACATTTCAGAAAATAGAAAACAAAGTATTTGTACATGTTGTAGTATTTTTTCCTCGACGATCGAGCTGATGAAAATTATTTTTAGCGTCGGAAAGAAGCAACAAGCGTCGCGCGCGGAGATACGCACGGGGGGGGGGATGTCTCTCTCAGAGACCGGTCGTGTTTTCTT